TATATATATACACACATATACACACACACCCCTCCCCTCAGACACTCACATATTCCCAGCCTGACCACTGTAATTCATTTCTGCTTTTTGGTCTCCTGCCCACTATTACTATACCGGTTTGACCAGTCAAACTACGCAAGTAACTTATTCCAGCTTCACAAAAATATGTGTTCCTTTCTCTATCAGAAAAGGCTGTTTCAGACAGGTACACTGAATAATTCATAAAGAGGCTACCATCAGGTTAATTCACCACCATTATCCTCAACAAAATTTTAGATTTGCATAATGAAAATCTAGTAATTAGATATGCCTTTATCAGCAAATAATCTTTTCAGTCTTTCTGTCTGAATTAATTCGTCAGAGCAGTAATGCCCAAAAAAATAGGGAGTATAAATTATTACTGGTGTCCTCAAGGTTTGACCACAGGAGCAACAGACAAACTCCATGGATATGTTTGCAAGCTTTGTGGGGAACAAAGGCAACTTCCCAAATTAGAACCCTGCCTCACTGATGTTTTCATTTAAGCTGAAGCAAAGTGAAAGACGACTGTTTCTTACCTTTCTTCTCATTCCAACAATAAAATAAAACTAACACAATAGTTGTGCCATTCAGTTGAACGAAAACAAGTCTTGCACTATTCCCTACCTGACCCCTCCTAATAGAGAAGATGCTATTGAACTGCATGAGCCTACAGCCAACATAACTGTTTCAGACAGTTCAGGGTTTTGGTTTTCAGGGATTTTCTACTTTAATTACAGTATTTACTGTATACTAACGAAGTTTTAGATGTTTTTCTCCAGTTTTTTTTTAGCAAAACAATGCAGAACTAAGCAAGTAGATGAGAAGCATAAACAAAATCCTCTCCTTCAGTTAAAGACAGATATTTTGTTATTGGTACCACTGGTACTGTGGTAGCGCTTGGAAACTCACACCACAACAGCTGTACACAAAATTAACTGTAAACATAATTTACAAAAGACAGTCTTTGTCCTGAAGAATTTAAAATCTAAATAAACAGGACAAAGTTTGAAGAGACACACACAGAGAAAAATAAAGTGACATACACATATCCATAGAGCAGTGATGACTAAACTGGTAACAGAAACAGATCCCACAGACCCAGCGAAGATTTGACATGCTGCTGCTATGTCACAACTGCAAGACAGGCTACAGTTTTTTTGTTTCGGGGTTTTGTTTGTTTGGGTTTTTTTTTAATAATTCATCCTCTGAAGATCTTGCTGTATGAGTCAAGAGCATCTTACCTGGAGTAATAATAATATTATTGGCCTCCTTTATCATTTCAATTGCATTGTCCACATTGATTTCTGTGTGGGTTCCAGTAATTTCCATGGGCTTCCCACCAGCTGTTGATGTGGTGCCATAACCCCCCAGAATCACATTTGCAAGGGAACGGTTCATAGCCTGAAAGACAAGAGGGTTTTGATCAGCTAAAGATGAAATCCAAAAATAAAAGAGAGATGTCCACAGAGACAACTTCTGAAAATATTAAAGCCTTCCTGACAATAGTCTTTATCTACTGTTTTTGCCTGCTTACAACTCAAAACTTCTTAAAACAAAGACCCAGATTAGCACAATAGCCAAACATCAGCTTCTAACACATTACATTACACATGTAATGAGAGAGCATCAGCATTTCTCCAAGACAAAGAACAGAACAACACAAATAACAAATATTGGTCTCTTTTTGTTCTTAAAGGTAAGGCATAAAAAAAAATGCATATATGATGAGGTGTTTTTTTAAATACATATATATATAGACACACAAATTTTTGCAAGATATTTTCTTAAGTTCTTCAGCAATTCAACATGTAAGCACAAAACTGCTCTATGACACCATGGAAACCACATAGCTTTTATAGGTAGTACAGAAGCAAAGCTCCTACAGCATCAAGACAGGAAAGAACACAACAAAGCTAAGTAGCCACACAAAACTAACCAAATGCTGACTCAAAACAAACTGTAATGAACTCGAGGGGGCCATTAACTTACTGGCTGAGCACCAAAAGGGAACAAGAGATCTTAAACTAGGAGCTTTAAGAGGAGAACGCATCCTGAAAATTCGGGTCTGTAGATACATAGCCAGGAAAAGCCACTGGCTAAATGCTTTCACTGGCATGCCTCCTTGTGAGTGTGGTCCCAAAGCAGCATCTGTCAATATCTGGAAGCAGGCAAAACTTGTAATTGTAGTAAACAAAACTTTAGAAGCAGGAAAGGAACAGGATAAATTGCTTCTTTAATTAAACACTTGTGTCATACATCTGCAGTGCTACCTCAGAAACCACAGCAAATTTTAAGAATGGATCTGGCACACATTCAAGCAAGACTAACAACCACACAAAAGTGTGCTTCCAAGTGACCTTTTCCACTGACATTTCAAATCACACAACTCCACAGGTTTTTTTGCTATAGCCTGAGAAGATATGCCATTCCATGAAATTCATCATCTAGCAAACAAGCACAACTAAGACGTTAGAAGAACTTTTGTTTATCCTGATAAATCATCACTGTTTCAGATATTGTAAGAAAGCTGTACAAATGCAGTGAGATCAACATCTTTGTACTGTCTGGAGTAGTTCATATCCTCTAAGAACACACTGCCTTCGACATGTATCACAATGTTAAACCATCAAACAGAAAAACAGGCTACATTACAGCAGTTAAGTGTCGTGGGTTAAAGTTAACTTAAAGTTAACTCTGTTAATTTTTTTTCTTTTCTCTCCCTCTTCTTCATAAATAGCTAGCAAGAGGCTGTGTTTTGGATTTAGGCTCAGGAGAAGCTGATAAGACCGATGTTTTGTTCTGCTGCCAAGGTCAGCAGACGAGCAAAGAGGCACAGCCGGTTGCTAGCATAGGATTTGCCCTTATGTTAAAATTGAAACTCAGAATAGCCAATGATATTCCATAACATGCATGTCATTCCCAGTATATAGGTAAGAATACCCGGAAGTGTGTTCTCTTTTGCCTCGGCTCTGCTTTCGCTGCTCTCTCCTGGCTCCGCATCGCTCTCCAAGGCCTTTCCCCCCCCTTCCACCGCCTGGGACGCACAAATCGCTATCTCCATTCCATGAGTTTCAGGATCCTCCCTCTCCGGGGGGATCGTTAGCTGTGGCCAGGTGGTTGTTTTCCCCACTCCGGTCTGGGACGCTCGGGCTGTTATCTCCATTCCGTGACTGCATCCGGGAGCGGTGCACTCCCCCCCCTCCATTTGGGGGAATCGTGAGTGTAGCCCTGGGGATCGTTAGCCAGCAACAGGCTGAGCCTTTGGTCATCGAGTGGGGGGGGGCAGTATCATTGTGTGTCACTCATTCTTCCCCCTCCGCTGGAATTGCTGGCCCGGAGCAGGCTGGGCCTTTGGTTATCGGGTGGGGGGGCAGTGTCACTGTGTATCACTCATTTGTATACAGTATTGTTTTTTAATATTATTGTAGTTTGGTTGTGTAGTTTAGTTATTAAATTGTCCCTATCTCAACCCACGAGTCCTCTTTACCATTTAACCCTTTTAGTCTCTCCCCTATCATTGGGTGGGGGTGGGAACTGTGTGAGCGGGTGTGTGTGGCTTGGCCCCGAGCCAAGGGCTAACCCACCACAGAACACTAGACAGAAGAATACTCTCTTCAGATGTTGCACATGCTAAGCTTACAAGCAAAGCACTTCCTACACGTATCTAAACCAAAAGACAACCGTAAGTCCAGACCAAAGGAGAAAAAGTTCAAATATTATTAGAAACTTGAGAATCCACACAAAGCAAGAATGAGATTGAAGCACTCTTGCTTGGCTCTGCACCAAAGAGCCAAGGAAAGAGGAGGCAAGTCTGTCAAAAAAAAAGTGGGTGGTAAGGTGGCTTCAAAATGAGCCAAGAACTCATCAAGCAACAATTAACCAATGCAGCTAAGACCCACTCAGGATAGGGACAGTGTGGAAACTCTTTTATAGCCTCTTTCACCTTTTTTTCCACTAGAGACCACAAACATATATGAAGTACCAGCTTCACCATTCACAGATTCACCACCAGCAAAAAGCCCTCTCTGCAGTACATACACAGGTGATACTGGCCAGGAACCTCAAAAGCCCAGGGAAAACCAAACCCTTCATCCCTGTGAACTTCAAGTCCTTCCACTGTGCCCACATAAAACCACACAGCTAGTACAGGCAATGGGCCAGCATACAATTTATAAAACTAACACAATTTGTCCTTTCTCTTGCTTTGTTTCATCATTCCAGTTAACGGTTCCTCTTCAACCTGAAGCGTTTTCCCCACCCCTAATCATACTGATTCTAATACTACAGTTGCAATCATCAAGTATTCACTCGGGGCGGGAGGGGAAGGAAAAAGGAGAAGGATATGCTAATACAATCAAGTGTTCTGAAGAAGACATGTCGTGTCATAATTCACAGTATGAGTGAACAGCACAGGTCTTTGCTTTTTTGCTTTGAAGTTAAATTCTTTGTCCTTAACTCACCCTCCTAATAGGCACAAAAGGGGAATGGGTTAAAAATCAAGCAGAAATGAGCGCAAAAACCAAGTGATTATCTGAATACATGTTGGCCAATTTTATCAACACAAGTTTTAAAGAGAGTATCCGGATAGGCTTTGGATGACTAAGCTACAGTTTTAACACAAAACGTAACTGGAAATGTTGTAAAAAGAAGGTTTCAACCACTAAGATGTTTCCACAAAAACCTTATCATCCATACTAGGTAAGTTTCAATAAATACACCACTTTGGATGGAAGTCCTATGGGGCAGGGACTGTTGCTTCATTAGCACAGGTTGCAATAGCCTAAAGCAGAGTTTATTGAAACTCTTGAGCATTTCTTCTCCTGAAACACAGCTTCAAGACAATGATACTGAATCTTCTGATTATAACAATGCTTTTAAAAATAATTATTTCCACTAAAGAAAGCAAACCAGAAAAGAAAAATGCTGTGGGGAAAACAAGTTATTCTGCTTATTGTGCAGAAATTATACAAAATAATTTTGATTTTACTGGCTGATCAACTGTAATTGTCTAAGCTTACACGAAGCAACACAAGATTTCTAGAATACTGCCTCAAAAAACTAAACTTCCTGAAATTTGAGAAACAGAGAGAGGAAGGCACTCTGTTATTGCGTTAACTGTGTTGCTAATTGCTTCCCCAAGCTTCTTATTTAACTACATTCCTCCAACCAACAGACGCAAGTATCTCAAAACTTCCTGTGAGTGCTGAGAACAGCTAGCAATAAAATACATTTTAAAAGGAAGGAAAGAGTAGAAGAAAAATGAAGGAACAGAGATGCCTACCGGTAAATAAGTACCCAATAGATCATATTTTCACTAAGACTCACAAGTTCTTCACAGAACATACTTTTCATACCTGTGTTGCCTCATAAGCATTACCCTTCTATGGATATGGACTAAATGACTGACTGTATACAAATATATATCTATATACACTTACAAATAAAAAGATGTTCCATGAACCACATAATCTGATCTCTTTTTGACAGAGACACAAAATATTCAAGAAAGAACAATATTATTTAAAATTCATACCTGAGATTGTTCATTTGAACTCACCTCCACGAAGCTGCACAAAAATACTTTAAGCTTTTCTGAAATTGTTCCTCAAGAGATGAAAATGAATGATACTGAACATTCCTAACACGGTAACAACACCATTTATCAGCAGACAAAGTAAAAGACAGGCAGGGCTGACCACAGATAAATTATCAGGACAGAAGAGAGACACCAATCATACAAGAACACAAGTGGAAATGAAACAGAATTACACAACAATTACACAGAATCAAGAGGCTGTCAGCTGCTACACTGTGAACAGTTTTAAATCATTACCTCTTCAGCTTTGAAAACAAAATGGACAGAGACATGGGGAAACAAGAGGCTTCTGTACAAATGTTCCAGAGAAAAATAGAACATTACTAATAATGCAGTATGATTACACAGAAAGTTGAAGTTCAAGTTGCTCTGACACAGACATTATCAATAATGCATTAATGGAAGCCTGCTGCCACCCCGTGGTCCTTCAAAGTAGCTGCTCTGAAGAAAGTAGCACACTTTCCAACACTCCAGAAAACAAACTTTAAATTACTCTCTAATCGAACCAAACTTTTTTTTAAAAGCATTCACTACTTAAATTATCTCCTTCTGATAAATTTTAAATTTAGCTTAAATTTAATACCACCACTAAGTGATACAACTACAAAAAAACAGCTGAGCACAAGTAATCGTACCTATTTGAGCCCACATTCAAAACCTTGATGCCCAAGTCAATGCAAAGGCTTTCCTCAGTTTTCTAACTGTATCTCTCCAAGTCAAAGAGAGATGACTGACATCTATTCCAACAGTTTCAGTCAAGAATTTCTAGTCTGTAAACACCTAGCAGCTTGGTCTTCCAATTGCTTATCTTCCTAGCAAACATGCTAAGGTTTTTCATTACTTGGAAAACAAGAACAATTTCTGCTGACTTCTTACCACACACATGATGTAAGAGAGGATGGCTCCAGAGGAGCCAATGAGTGCACCAACAATGGTCAAAGGACGCCCTCAGCACACAAAGCCCATCCGGAATAACTGTTCAGGACAGTAATAACTACAGGCATGTCAGCACCTCCAATAGCTGCTGTTAAAGTGACACCCTGGAATAGGAAAGAAAATACTTCAGTATAAGCTGCCATTAAGGAGAACCTGCAGAGAAGACAGTCTGTCTGCCGCTCTGAAAAATAAATATCAAGTTACTTAATAACCTGTTCAAGTATTTTCAATGTAGGAGACATCAAGCTGTGGCCTAAGGATTGGACTTAACTGTTGATTCTGCCTTTTGAGAGAGGACAGGAAGGCATTCCACTGTCCTCATCCTGTGCTTAGTCACATATTTTTACTCGCAAAAATATCCTACCAGCTCCATGGAACTGTTCACACCATGAAAGGATTCATACTGAACAGTCTTTGCAAGAGTCCATTTACAGAACGGTTATATTCAGGGTAAACATTGCAGCAGCTGGTGCGACTGAATGGAGCAAGTTACACATAGGGATGATCTTACCAAGTTATCATGATAACCTGTAGATCCAGTGCTCTTTTAGGTATTTTAAGGATAAACTTTCTAAAGCCTTTTAAAGTACCAGCTTGTCATATAAAAGCCTCCATTAAATCATAGCTGAAAAAAGTAATTCTATACATACATGCCTGCTCTCTGGAACAGTTCTGGTTTACAGCTCGATATAGAAATGTCAGTTGCTACTTGCTACTGCAAAATAACATACAAGCACTATGACAATTGTTACTCAAGACAGTAAAATTCAAACATCAAGAGGAAACTTGCAAAGCTGAGGAACAAACGGCTTGTTTAATTTGTTTCACCTCCTACAATTCTGCAACTTACCATTATGGTTGAGAGAGCGGACACAGAACCTAAGCAAGTAATTCCCGTAGTGTAACTAGGATCAATCATGTATGGAATCATTCCACCAAAGCTGGCGGCCAGCAATCCTGCATTCAATGCATGTCGACCAGGCAAGAGCAGTGGTGCAGAATTCAGGATACCTGAAATCAAATGCATAATCAGGGACTGACACACACGTGGAGGAGAGTGCGTCTATTGCCTTCAGAGAAGACTGAATACCTCAGCAAAAAATAAAAACTAAAAAAAGAAACAGGGAGGGGCAGAACATAAAAGAAGTTAGTTGAAGCTGAGACCTTGTACTGATTCAGTATTGAAACACATTCAAACTTACTCTATATCCTCAAATACTCCTGTGCAAATTCTTGTTTTACTTGCTAATCTCATTGAAGTGTTTCAGAATAAGCACAAAAATCTCTTTGCCTCTTGAAAAGCTTTGTTTTAAAAAAAAAAAAAAGTATTTTAATTCTGGCCCCAAGTCTTTGCATGTTGTGTATGACATTCTGTAACAGAAAGCTTTTAGCTGGAACTTCTTAGTACAGGTATTATCTCAGTCTCTCAAAAGTTGTGTGCTTAGAAAAATATGACTATGCAGATAACCCCAAATATAAAACACTCCTGCTTTCAAATGCTTTAATTTCACCAGTACCCTCAGCCACACAGACTTCCCACAGCTTCCCACACTGTCAGAGACTTCAGCAGAAAAGAGGGTCTGGTATTTGTGTGATTCAGTTTAAAAAGACAACTACATATTTCTTTTCACCCTAGTCTTCTTCCTCCCACCCCCCAAACAACACAGCAAAGAGTAAAAATAATGCAAGTTTATCTGTCACTTTCACTGTAAGTAATTACTTACCATGTGTCTCATTTAAATTTAGCTGATTTCAAGGGAAAGTATGAACTGATGGCCTCAGGACTGCAAGTCAAAGTGTGTGACCTACTACCTCTAGTTCAATAGTATAGACAAGTTTATCATCCAGCTGATATGAAAATGCAAGGAGGGGAATAAAAGAAAAAAAAAGAAAAAAACAAAAAACAGGAGAGTGCTCTGAAACAGACAGCAAACTTCACCACAGACGTGTGCACAAATCACTGAGTGGATGGAGGAGGTAAGATGGAGAAGGGAAAAAAAAAAAACCAAGAAGAAATAAATTAGTAACTACTTAGCAAAAATACATACTACTGACAAATCCTTCAAAAGATTATTAGAGAGGACAACTTGCCATCCATGTCATGCTTCCTCCTTCAATGGCTGGTCTCATAAACACTGAAGAAAGTAAACAGATGTCTTCCAAAGGAACTATTGCAAAGCTAATGACAGGATTACTAATAGGGAGCTCTTAACCAGAAGTTCTTAGTATAGGTATTATCTCAGTTTCTCAAAAGCTGCGTGCATACAAAACCAAAAATAAATGCAATAAGAAATCTTCAGGTGCATAAGAATCAGGAATTGGTGAGTATTTAATTTAGAAGGCATATTTACTTAAACAGTAAGAGGCACAGAGCATGGAGTTTGCACAATAGGTAAAAAGAAAATAAACTGAATGGTTTAAAGTGAGGCAATCTCAACTGATCCTGCAAGCTACCTACCTAAATGAAGCCTGCAACACTAGGAACAAAATCCCATAAATATTAGCCATGCTTACTGAGTCCAGCAACACCAAGGTTTCAATTATAATGTCTTCTCAGGAATATGAAGTTGTGATCATAAAAGTTCAATAAAATCAATTACAAAAACAGTTTCAGGTATTTCCTTAACAACACTAAAGCAACACTTATTTCTAGACAAGATGAATTGAGGGAAGCTTACATGACTTGCTAATTAATAGCAGTAGGATGTCCAAGAGTGAAGATAAACTTTTCATAACTAGAGCTGTACACAAATCAAACAGAATTAAAAAGAAAAAAGTACACTCCTAAGAATTAAACATATAAATTTTCACCTAATGCAAAATAAAAGGTTTCCTTCCAATTACACAGCAGTCTAAAGGCAGAGCTAAACCCTGGGGAAAAAAAACCTTAAACAAATACTTAATTACGAATGGAAGGTCTCACCTTGCAGTTTTCCATAAGCAACAAGAGAGCCACTGAAAGTCACTCCACCAATGTACGTGCCAAGGTATGCCACAACCTTGGTGAGGTTCGCAGCTGGATCAGTAGCAAAGTGAGGATATTCAATGATGTATTCTGCTACACAGGTGAGCACAGCAGCCAAACCAACCAAACTATGGAAAGCAGCCACGAGCTGAGGCAGATCTGAAATCTGGATGCGTTTAGCAATCGTCAAACCTATTGAGAGTTGAAGATAGAAGGGAAGTCTTACAAAAAAACCAATTTGTGCAGCTAGAAATTAATGTATCATGGCATGCAATGAATAAACGCACACACATGTCTGTTCCAATGGAAAAATTTGTTCTATGCAAGAAATTGCTATGGCATTTAACTGAAAGCTGCAGATGTATATTTTGTGCAATGAGGATATCATAGAAATTAGAGAGAAGATTAAAGCATATCATGTTCTTAAAAGCTTCAGTAATATTGAGAAATTCACCTGTAATGAAAGCACAGTGCAAAAAGGGGAATCTGGCAGCATTCAGTCAGGAACTGAACAGAAGTATGAAGTTGGGCAAGTTCATTCACCTCTGCATACCCAGTTTCCCTACCAGAGAATATGTGCTCCTGCTTCTCCACCAGCCTCCCCATTCTTTATCACATCTTGATGCATTAATAAAAGCCCTGGAACTTAGAATTGTCAAGTTAGCCAATTCACCTGTGAGCTATACAATATTTTGTGTATATATAGCTTGCATAAATGCATATACAGAGCATATATTCTTAGTTTATAGTATCATACACATACCTATGGTACCACCAAGTGCCATTGCGCCTGACATCTGTGCCAACAATTCAGGTGAGGGTTTAAGCCCTCCAAGAGTTGCTGCTAAACCTCCGGCAACACCAATCATACCCAAAGCATTTCCAAGGCGAGCTGTTCCTTGGGTGGACAGACCAGCCAGGGCACCAACGCAGCATAAGCCTGAACCCAGATACATCATCTTCAAAACAAGAAAAACATCAATATGCATACATGAAGAAGAGACAAAGTGGATAATCATGATATAAGTCTTCCTGATTATTACACCAGAGCGCCGAATTCTCCAGAATGTACATAAGTCATAGTTCTTAACTGTGAGAAGCTGTGTACAGGATGTCATTTTGGCCAATTAAAATGTGGTATCTATTAAAACTTCTTCTCCACTTTATCTGCACTGTGAATACTAAACTTGAGTCAAGCCAATTTTCCTCAACAGTTCAGAAGCAAGATTTTCTTTAGCACAAACCTAAAGCTAAACGGTCCTGTTCATTACAGGAATATTTTCATAATTTGCTTATGGCACATCTGAACCCATTTTCAAAAAGTATAAACAAACTTCAATGAATTGAGCTGCACACGTCTAGGTAAGTGAAAAAACTCAAATATATCACAAGCCCTTGGCATAAAGGTATGTTTGGATTCACTTTTTCCAAACACAGAGGGCAATACACTTGATTTTTCTTACTATTAAAAAAAATGCAAACTAAAGTTTACCATAAAAGCTGCTAGAGGTACAATGTCTGTACATCCCTCTGTGCTAAAATCTCATCCCATCCAGATGCCATACCTATTTCAACTGTCATGCTAAGTCAACTTTTCATAAACAGTTAAAACAAAGACTGATTTCTGTAGTCACTCTAATATTTAAGCTGTAATTTAGGAAAACTGTCCAATAAATAACAAAGTACCTGATGTTTTACAGGGGGAAAAAAACAAAGCTTTTAAAATTTGCAGATTCAGCATTCGTGGTATGATTGCAAGCCTAAAGTTAATTAACTTCAGATGGGCCTTGTGCGAAAATGTAGCTGGTGAAAAGACCATGGCTAATTTGCTATTTACTCCTCCAGAAAGCAAGCAATGAAGAAGCAAACCATTCTGTGAAAAGTAGGCTAAGAGCCATGAAGTTATCTTCTTACCTGTTCAATATCATAGCCACCACTGAGAGCAGCTGCATAGCCTCCGACAAATACACCACCAGGAAGCAGGTACAAGTAGTTGTACTCTGGAGGATCTGTGGGACGTTTGAACATATCCAGCATTCTCTGTGTAACTAGAAACCCACCTGGCCAAAGTAAAGGAACAATTTTACAAAAATAAAATCTGACACTAAGCATATCCGCCAAGCTTTAAGAGAAATACTTTGTTATTATTACTACACAAAGGTAGCAACTGACACCAATAAAGCCTCTGAAAAACTAGTAATCTGGAAAACCACCAGGAAACAAAAGTGTAACAAGCGTGAGATCATGTTGTATTTTTTTAACCTTTGGAAGAAATTAATACAAGGAGGAGTTGGAAAGCCTGGAGGACTTGCTCTGGCTCCATACTCTATGCTGACTGTAGGATCCAGGCTAGTTTATGACTGTGTCCTTTTCCCTATCTACTCTAGCAAAAAGCAGTATTTATAAGTCACACTGCTCACTTTCTTATCTTTTTTATTTGTGAAGCTGGGACTTCCAAAGCTCAAGCAAGCAGAAGTTTGTTTTATGCCACTAGTACATACTTCAAATAGGAAAAGGAATACAAGGACAAAGGCAGTACCATGTTGGAACATACAGGAAAATGTATTTCATATAATCATCATGCAAAGAATACTTAAAAAATAAAAAAAAGAAAAAAAGCACATTTAAGTGCTTCCCTAAAAAAAGGTTACACCACAGGGTGTGAAAACCAGATACAATAACAACTATGAAAACTGGGGGGCAGGAAGGGAATGTTTGTTACTCATGGATGCTCTCAGATCCTATTCCCAGAATAACATTTCCGGAATCTGTACAATTACAGAGCTAGAATAAATTAAAGAATTACACAAGTGTTTTAAAGTTAGCCTCAGGAGAAAACCTAACATTCATACCTGCAATATTGACTGAAGAGATAAAAGCTGAAAGCACTGCTAGAGTTTGAGGAGTGTTTTCAGGGAGATAGTTTCCTCCCATCAATACCAGCCCACCAACTGCAGTTAGTCCTATTTAAAAGAGAAAGAAGTGTTACTGACCCTTAAAAGGCTCTATACCTATAGGAAGTTTCCTTTCAGTTGTCAAACAGATACCCATCAACTCAAATTTTGACCCCCTATTCTACACATCACTATTTAAACAAAGACTACTGTGGTCTTTTTCAGCAATACAAACACGTTTCAAAAGAAAAAAAAATGGTGTATGAATACAATTTTGAAGTACAGTGCCTCAAGCACAGAGTCAGCCTCTGAGTACTTGTTCAATAAAATAAATTTTGCTTTTAACAGTCACAGTAGATCAGATTCATGACCTGTCACATATACACACACAGATACATAAAATCTTACATATTTATAGAGTTAGGAATCTTATGGCTCACTTTGGATTTTTTTTGCTTTTTCCCCCCCTCTCAAAACACATAGTTTGATGAGAGGAAAAAAAAAAGCACAAAGAACGTGCAACAAAAGTTACTTTCAGGGCAGTATTTTGGAGAGATGTGACAGAAGATGTGTTCTATGAAAGGAGGGACTGCAGCAGTGGAAAATTACTTAGAAAAAAACAAAAATACGCACGATCACCATTTGCCCTTCTTTTCAAAAAAAACCATACTCTCAGAAAGAGTATGTTTCACAGATGTCCTCGCTGTTCATGAAAGTAAACTCAGACATGCGAAGTAGTACTAGGCTCTTTGACATTTTAAAATGCATATCAGCAGACTTCTGTCAAAAGTTCAAGTAAAAGGAGCTTTGCCTACTTTAAACAGAAAAAAAAGCAGTTGTCTGACAGCTACTAACCTGAGATAGCATTAGTCACTGACATGAGTGGAGAATGAAGTGCAGGAGTCACACCCCATACTGTGTGATATCCCACTATTCCAGCAAGTCCAAACGTTGTCACCATTTGCGTGAAAGCAGTATTAGGAGCTGCAATGCCCAGTCCTAACATGCCACTTAAACCTAGAAGAAAAGCACAGCAAAACTTTTCTGTAACTTTTCTATGGTTTCTTACATTTAAAGTCTGTAAAACAGGAGTCCAGTATTGAGCTAAAAGCAAAATGGAGTTTTGTGCATGTACTCATTTCAAGATCAGCTGGATCACCTTTGTCAACTACAGGGCTCTTTCAGCACTAGTGTTTATTTTACAACGGAAAATAAAACCATCAGTATAATACACACGTATCTGTTATGCATGCACACAAAGCAGCAAAGATAGGTTTCTACACCAACACTGAATCCTGTCACTCTCCTGTTCTATAGCAAAAATGTAGAAGAGTCAATCACACTGAGATACTACTTGGAAGACTCAAAGCATGCATATGAAGAACAGAGATTAAAATCAAGAATACTCAATTCATTAACTACCTCATGCAGAAGTTCTGATGCATACAGAATACCAAATGACTAGAACAGACAACACTTATTTGTCAAGACAAATGGCCTATTCTCAGTCCTTCAGTGGACTGTGGGCATTTAAGTCTCATACAATACATTAAAGTTTGAAGAAAGCAATGGCATTTAATTTTTACACTTCAAAGTATGGGCACAGTCACTAGCAGGAGTCCTTAAGAATTTTAAGTATTTTACTGATATTTAAATAAAGCCAAACACACACACACACACAGAGCATGAGTCAGCACTGTTTGAAGTGTTAATACTTTTCATTAAATTATAAAATTTTAGTTCCTCTCTCAAAAGCAATTACTACACTACACTGATTTTGCGCAAGGATACATCAGCCAATCAACTGCTCTCCCAAATAGTTACTAGACTGAATGTGTAAGATGAGGAGTCACTTAAAGGTGTGAGTGCCAAATGAGGAGCACTCTACACTGATTCTCCAACTCTAGAAGTTGCCTACCTGCCGTGTACACAGATGCACTAGTCATAGTTTTTCTAAAAGGTGTAATAGCAGCTGCTTTTTCCGCTTCCAGCTCTGCTACAGTCTTCTGCTTCACAGGGGCTCCTTGAGGAATGTTATTTGGAGGAGGTGCTGGGAAAATCACCTTGCCATCCTGACAAGAGACATTTACAGTTATCCCTAACACGGCAAATGCTTTATAGTTAGAGGAGCCTACTCTTCTTCGTCCTGCAACTCAGATGAGTCTTAACATTGTACTGCCATGCCACAGGAACATCTTACTTTTCTGCATCAGCAGAAGTTTGCAAGGCTGGATGATCAGCACAGCCTGACCAAGTTAACCACACTGGTTTACACATTTTTCAGACAAGATTTAGTATCAGTGTCCAAGAGCACCTGGTGGAAACATTGCACAAGGTCTGAAAGCAGGAACCAAAACAAAGAGGTAAAGTTCCTCAAATGGAACATATTAATGAAAAATAAAACAAGGTCTTGGAAACGGCAAAATCTGCTATGGATCTGAACTGTAATCAGAGCCTGCCCAGGCCTCAGATAGGTACCAAGAATGATGGTACCACATTTCTTGCTGTTTGCCAGGCCTCTGGAGGAACAACTGGTGGAGCTATCAGACCTGAGTTGTACACACCACTTCAGTGGTCGGGGAGAGCTGAAGTCAATGCAAGCCTCCTCCAGAGTAGATACTGTAAGTATTACAAAATGTTGGCATCATTATGCAGGGAAACTCAACAGAAATTAACACCTCCACCTAAACTGCAAATTGTTATTTCCTAATAGTTGCAGGGCCATGCTGGCCCATGCTCTAGTTTTTTTTATTTCATTATTTCCTAACAGAGCCTAAAGTATCCTGCATATTCTAGTTCCACCAGTTTTTTCTGAAGTTACTCTTGGGAAAAAACAATGTATTTATTAAAAAAAAAAAAAAGAAGGAATAAAGTTCTTCTGGTCCTGTAGTAATGTTTCAAACATATTTTAAATAATTATGCTTTTATCACATGAATATAACATGCAAATTTAATCTTTTCCCTATTTTTCAATAGTAGACATTAGGCATTTGTTTAACTATGACAAGAAGACAAAAGCAAAGAGGTTTCCCTTCACAAAAAGGGACTGAAAAATATTCAGATGAATACAAATATGATTGTCCACACTGTCTGTCAAGCCGCACCTGAAATCTACTGGCATGCAGTATCTCTGAAGGCATTTTAAAGAGACAACATTGATAAATGTAAAGGTACGTACAAATTAGGAAGAAAATATTTACAGACTCACCTTCATTACTACGGTTCCTCTAATAACATGATCCAGAGTTCCATAATCAAATTCATCTTTTGGATCAAAGTAGAAGTTCTCTTTGTCAGGACTAATAGCCTTTAGGAGTTTGATAATGTTATTGGAATATAGAGTACTGGCCTGAGTAGCCATTCTGCTAGGCAAGTCTGTGTAGCCAATGTGTGTAACACCCTGAAAAAAATTCAAGTAAAATATTAAGGATTAGTTCAATCTCTGAAGAAACAGCCTCTCTTCCAATATATCCTTCTGGAAATATACATCCAAACTGTTTCACTTATTTCTGTTTTTAACCCCAGCTAAAACTGTTACCTGCAGCTCTAACATTGTTCAGTCAGGGGAGGATAACTCATAACTCGCAACAGTTACAGAATTCAACATGACCAAACCCAACACCTTAAATGCTATTAGCAGCAAGACAACACAGAGAGGAAGATGCATTGGTGCAAGAGTTTCTCCTCTCCAAATCCTACCACTCTCTCAAAACTTAGCTTCTTAACCCAATCAGTTAACAGATTATCCTGCCCAATGCCTGGCATCTTCTCAGTCCTTCCAGAAGACATGCACTGGACACAACTTTCTATATGGCACTTTCTATCACCCCCTGAGGAGTGAAGGCAGCTTCCTCAGAGCTAGCTAGCTGTGCAACTAATATGCCCAGATTCATTTTTATGTAAAGATGTAACATAATATATCCACACTATTTACAGAACAAATGTGAGTACCCCTGGCTATCAGGCTCTTGAGCTTTTGGAAGGTATGTGAAGCTGAGGCTGACTTACACTCTTCACATTCAAGCAGGCTTGTGTTAAAACACTGCTCCCGTAACAGCTAAGATCCATGCATGCTTCTACAAACTCTGGCTTCTTAATGCAATGCTCCAGCACACTGCTAATAGTTCTCCACTGCTACTGTTTTCCACACTCAGTGCTAGTACACTATATCCAGGGGTAATATTCCTCTGACTAACAGTGCTCCATATAAATTCCTCATCATGTAACTGCTTATTTTTGTTCTACATACTTTCAGTTTTATCCAATGACACCAAAAGCCCTAGAAAACAACAAAGCCAAATACAATGCATGACATGATATACACACACACAGCCCTGGTTACATTAATGACAACCACAGCAGCAATGTGTCCTACAGGCTTCCCTAATAACAGCATTATGTTCTTACATTAACAAATAATAACCTTGGAAGTCTGCCACTTTAAATCTCATCACCCAAATTTCTATAACTGCTGGTAGATGTCTCACAAGTCCCAAAAATTAAACCCAAAAAGCAGAAAAACAAGCTCTCAACTGAGCCAATGAACACTGGTGCAAAACCAAAGGAGTTAGTGCAGTCCAGAGCACAATTGCTTACTTTAATGAACCAATTCACACTACTCCTAGTTTCGGTTACAAGTGGTTTGGATACTCTAGGGCAGACACACTCACGCTGGTGAAGCTAAAGACCAAAAAAGACAGCATTCTCCTGAAGCTGAAATTACATTGAGCTAAGCCAGAGACTTTGCACTGAAATAAAGACTGACATAGTCTAAACCTATTCAGCTTACCTATGACAGGCAGTTAACCTGCAGTCGTGGGAGGTGATAAACAAGGAAAAGAAGCTATTGCTACTGCTGTCTCTTTACACAGGCCAAGAAATAGACACCAAACCACACCCTCAACTCTGCAGAGACAAATTGCTGGACTTGGAAGTCTCAGTAGTTACAATTCCATAATTAGCACTCAAAGTAACACTATACAAAGGTTGTTTCTTTAAAAATCTTCAAATTGTTACAGAGATGCCTAGTGAATAAATTCAAATCCATAGGATTACTTAAGGCCAAATATCAAAATCAGCTACTCATTTTCAGCATATGGTTTACAAGACATAACGTGAATTCATGCAAACTGAGACTGATCTGCAGATTAAAATGCTCACCTTATGGATATACAGTTCTCCAGGCTTTGTGGTCTCAATGTTTCCCCCTGCTTCTGCAGCTAAATCCACAACAACTGAACCTTCCTTCATTGATTCAATCATATCTTTCTTAAACAAGACAGGAGCTTTTTTGCCTGAGAAGACAAGGCATAGCAAGTTAAACACAAAATACAGTTTTTCACAGGCAGAGCTCAGAAGATGAGTACTCACTCCCCTTCTCTTTCTCTCTAAACCATATTTTTGTAAGTAAAATTTTTGAACAATCAGTACCTTGGATGAAATGTCACAAATTTGTTTATACAGGGAGAGAGAAGAGATGCTAGACCATCTTGCTCCCAAGCATACCAAAAGTTGTGCATGGGTAGTCCACCAAAGGTACTGGAAATCCAATTTTGCTGTCAGTAAACTGACAGCACACAATTTTACAATTCAAGTCATTATTAAAAAAAAAAAAAATAAACAAACAAAAACCCACCACATCACAAGTTACTAACATACAGACACTGTACAATACAAAGCACTAAAACCTGAGCTCTACGTCACTAGTTTTCAATTACAAAAGACAGTACTGTTTCTATCAGACTTGTTCCAGTGTACAAGCTGGACAACAGAAGTACACTGATGCAATAAATATACAAGAGAATTTTATATTCTTACTTTATTACTACCTACTCCTTGTTTAATAAGAAAACACCACGATATTGACTGTTCACAGGACTGCTCATGCGGGAGGGCACACAGTCAGAGCACTTCGTCAAAGGAGGGGTAATCCACTTGCCAAGTGGGAGACTTGAGGTACACAGAACCCAGCAACTGGGCACCGTTCTGTGGCCATCCGAACAGGCAAAGGGCACTCATCCTACCTGACCCTCAAGGCAGAGTGGGGGGCACTCATTTGGGAGCAAAGGCTGCAGCTCCAGCTTGGGAATCTGCACCATCTACCCCAGCAGTGACCAATGCCTCTACCCAGAGTGAGCTGCTGAAGGGGAACACTGCAGTGCAGACCTCAGACTGCAGCAAGTGCCTAGACATGCCTCCCCGAGCAGGGACAGGATATGCCCAGATGGAAGACCTCCTGCAGCAGGTGGCTGAGCTGCAGGAGGTGGTGAGAAGGCTGCATAGCATCAGAGAGGCTGAGTTGGAGTTAGATAGCTGGTTCCATGCACAGTCTGTGGTGGACCCACAGCCAAACAGCCACAAACTCCCTCACCGCCACACAGAAACAAGGGGGGCCAACAATGGAGAAGAATGGAAGCTTGCAACAGCAAGGACCAGCAGTAGGTAGAGGCTTCCTTGGACGCCTGAGGTGCCCTTGCAGAACTGCTTTGCCGGCCTGCAGACTGAAGAGGAAAGACTCATGTGTCACGGACCAATCCGCTCCTCCCCCATGACATTGTTTATCCATGTTTATGCCTCAGTCATCTGGGCAGAGCACTCGGACAGAACATTTCTAAACAAGAGGCTCCACCATGTCTACTCAGGCAGAGCACATTGGAAGAAGAGTTCTTTTGTGAACAAACATTAGCAAGTTATTAATATTTTGAGTGACAGGCACCACCTGTTGAGGTAGCGCATGGCTGCTGAGGGCTGGAGTTCATCTCCCTGGTGGAGAGCCAACTGCTCCCCCCAAAGGCACCCTAGATGCAGGGCTGTTGCACCCCCCAAAGGACAATCCCAAAGGTGACCTGGATACAGGCCATTGCCCACCCTGACGCGTGGTCCTGGAACCATATAGAAGGTGAGCCCAATCACCTACTCCATGTCAACCCATCACCCCCTGCATGGAAGGAGTTTCTGCCTGAAACGAAGATTTCTGCCTGAAGACACATGCTGGAACAAGGGACTGGTGATGCTATCTCTATGTCTCTGTGTGTCTCTGTCTCTATCTCTGTCCTTCTGCCCTCCTTCCTTACTTTTCAACTCTTTCTTACTCTGTCTTCTGATTTTTGCCTTCAAATAGTGACTGAGCGTTATTTGGTGCTTGCTTAATGAATAAGTGGTATCTGTTGATAACTGATAAGTGTGACTTGGTGCTCGACTCTGAGAAGTGGATTTGTAATATTTTTGCAGTTGCTGAGGTAAATAAAATTGTGCTGTGTTGTTCCTTGAGTCATTGTCTGACTTCACCTAGCCAGTGCTCCTTTTCCGGGAACCACAAAAAACCTCTCTTGACTGTCCATTGTAGCGGGGTGAGACACTCATCACATCAGGAGAGATGCTGAAGCCAAGTAAGGTGGCCCCATCTGCTCCCTGTGTAACAAGCAGCGCAACTAAGAAAGGGCGATGGGTGACAGCAGTAGGCTACTCTCTTCCGAGAGGTACCTAGGCACCCATTTGCCAGCCTGACCCACTCTCTAGAGAGATGTGCTGCGTACTGGCAGCTCGTATCAGGGATATCACTGAGAGACTACCAAGCCTCATACAGCCCCCTGGCTAGTATCTGCTGCTGATGTTTCATGTGGGCACCAGTGATACAGCCAGGAGCCATCTGAGGAGTATCAAGAAGGATTACAGAGCCCTGAGAGAGGTGGTTAGTGCCTCTGTAGTGCAGGTAGTTTTTTTCATCAATCCTCCTGGCCAAAGGGTTTGAAAGGGCCAGTCAATTGTGGCAAGTCAATAATGGTTACAAGACTGGTACCACAGACAGGAGTTTGGCTACTTGGACCATGAGACTCACTTTGAGAAACCTGGTCTACTGGGGGCTGATGTGGTCCATCTGTTGGAGAAGGGGAACAGCATCATCAGTCACAGGCTTGAAAACCTGGTGAAAAGGGCTTTAAAGTTGGTGGGGGAGGGGAACCTCAATCCATCCCACTCCTACCAGTTTAATGCCAGTGCCAGCAACAGATGCCCAGAACCTGGAGAAGGATCACAGGTCATCAGGAGAGCACATGAAGAGCAGCACAAAAGGAATTCCAGCCAGTAAGTCAGCTTCATCCGGGGCACAACTACAGTGCTTCTAAGCAAACACATGTAGCACAGGGAATAAACAAGACGAGTGAGAGACAAGCACAAGCCTGCCAGTGGGATGGCCCCTACGACTGGTGTGTTGGAATGGAGGGATACAGGCTCTTCAGGAAGGACAGGCAGGGGAGATGAGGAAGGGGTGTTGCCCTCTGTATCAGTGACCCACTGGAGTGCACGGACCTCCGTCTAGGGATGGATGAGCTGCCAACCACAAGCTTATGGGTCCAGATTAAAGGCAGGGCAGGGACAAGGGACATTATAGGGAGGATCTGCTGCAAGCCACCCAACCACAAAAACCAAGTGGATGAGGCCCTCTACAGACAGACAGGCGCAGCCTCACGCTCACAAGCCCTGGACCTCAAGGGGGATTTCAACCACCCTGATATCTGTTGAAGGGACAACACAACAGGGCATAAACCAGGAGGTTCCTAGAATGCATTTATGACAACTTCCTTCTCCAAGTGATAAAGCAGCCAACGAGGAAAGGTGCTGTGTTGGACCTTGTTCTCACCAACAAGGAAGGGCTGGTGGGGAATGTGAACGGTGGAGTTCCAGTATCCATAGAGTCACAAGGAGTGTGCACAGCAAACTCACTACTCTGGACTTCAGGGGAGCACACTTTGGCTTCTTCAGGGATCTGCCCGGTAGAGTCCTATGCAATAAAGGCTTGTAGGGAAGAGACGTCCAGGAAAGCTGGTTAATAGACAAAGATCATGTCCTCCAAGCTCAAGAGGGAAGAAGGAAACCAACCAAGAGGAAGTCAGGCAAAAACGCCAGGAGTCCTGTACAGATAAACAAGGAACTCCTGGAGAAACTCAAACACAAAAAGGAAGCTTACAGAGGGAGAAAGGAAGGACAGGTAGCCTGGGAGGAATACAGAGAAATTGTCTGAGCAGCCAGGAGTCAGGTTAGGAAAGCTAAAGACCTCATAGAACTAAACCTGGACAGGGGCAAAGCCAACAAGAAAAGCTTCTAAACGTACATCAGGGATAAAAGGAAGACTAGGAAGAATATGGGCCTGCTCAAGGAAACTGGAGACCTGGTTGCACAGGATGTGGAGAAGGTTGAGGTAATCAGTGACTTTTCTTGCCTCAGTCTTCACTAGCAAGTGCTCAAGTCACACCGCCCAAGTCACAGAAGGCAAAGTCAGGGACAGGGAGAACGAAGAGCTGCCCACTGTGGGAGAAGATCAGGTTCAAGACCATCTAAGGAACCTGAAGGTGCACAAGTCCATGGGACCTGATGAGACCCATCCACAGGTCCTGACGAAACAGGCAGATGAAGTTGCTAAGCCATTATCCATCATCTTTGAGAAGTCACAGCAGTCTGGTAAAATTCTTGATGACTGGAAAAGGGAAACATAACACCCATTTTTAAAAAGGGAAATAAGGAGGAGCCAGGGAACTACAGGCCATATCAGTCTTGTATCTGTGCCCAGCAAGATCATGGAGTAGATCCTCCTGGAAACTATGCTAAGGCAGCACATGGAAAATCAGGAGGTGACTGGTGACAGTCAACATGGCTTCACCAAGGGCAAATCATGCCTAACAAATTTGGTGACCTTTTACAACAGGGTCACAGCATCGGTGGATAAGGGAAGAACAAGTGAAATCATCTACCTGGACTTGTGGAAAGCATTTGACACTGTCCCACACAACATCTTTGTCTCTAAATTGGAGATACATGAATGTCACTGATAGACCACGCAGTGGACAGTGAGCTGGCTGGAAGTTTGTACTTGAGTTGCATTCAATGGCTTGATGTCCAAGTGGAGACCAGTGACGAGTGGAGTTCCTCAGGAGTCAGTACTAAGACCAGTGTCAATTAACATCTTTGTCAGTGACATGGACAGTGGGATTGAGTGCACCCTCAGTAAGTTCACCGATGACAACAAACTGTGTGGTGAAGTCGACAGGCTGGGTGGAAGGGACGCCATCCAGAGGGACCTGGACAGGACAGGCTTGTGGGCCCATGCCAACTTCACAAAGTTCAACAAGGCCAAGTGCAAGGTCCTGCACCTGGGCTGGGGCAATCTCAAGCACAAATACAGGCTTGGCAGGGAATGGATTGCAAGCAACCCTACCAAGAAGGACATGGGGGTGCTGGCTGAAAAGCTCAACTTGACCCAGCAATGTGCACTCACAGCCCAGAAAGACAACCATGACCTGGACTGCATCAAAAGAAGCACAACCAGAGGGTCAGGGGAGGTGGTTCTGCCCCTCTACTCCTCTCTTGTGAGACTTGGCAGGGAATGGATTGCAAGCAACCCTACCAAGAAGGACATGGGGGTGCTGGCTGAAAAGCTCAACTTGACCCAGCAATGTGCACTCACAGCCCAGAAAGACAACCATGACCTGGACTGCATCAAAAGAAGCACAACCAGAGGGTCAGGGGAGGTGGTTCTGCCCCTCTACTCCTCTCTTGTGAGACCCCACTTGGAGTACTGCATCCAGGTCTGGGCCCCCCAATGCAACAAGGAAGTCCAGCTGTTGGAGCGAGTCAGAGGAGGGCCATGAAGATGGTCAGAGGGATGGAGG